GCACAAGCCCAATCGACACATGCAGACCAGATACATGAGCGTACTCAGAGCGTGAGAAAACCCGTACAGCATGCATGCATGGCAGTAGTCATAACGTGGAAACACCGTACAGCCACACGCTGAATCGTATTATCATCTCTAACAACTTCAGGTACTTATTGAAATGTCCAAGGCCGTTCTAAGAAATGGATAGAGAACCTGATGCCCAATTAAGCTTTCTGCACATGTTTTTTTGCGATTGACGAGACAGACGAATTACAGAAAAATTGCCTTGAATGACACGGATTGGAAAACAATGAGCAAGTATACATGTCCACCCATGAGCCTAGCGCAGTTGGTGCACGCACAACCTGTTGAAATACAGACCCGAGTTCGAATCCCAATGGACCTAGATGAATGCATCAGAAATATTTCTGAATTTGGGGTCGGTCAACAACTCGATCATGATATCTCAAGGTCATCTGTAGTTGTTCCAGCAAACAGCAACGTTTTTCTTTAGAGATCACTCTCTAAGGTGGCCATCTCGACCAAAGAACCAAAACAGATGTTGAAATAAAACAGGATCTCCTCCTCCTGCAGGATAAAAAAAAGTGGTATTAAAATTTCTATCAGTTAATAGCATAGTGGGGGGGGGAAGGGGGGGGGAGGAAAGAACACATCTCCATAGGCACAATTCATTCCGTCATCCCGGCCTTCTACACTCATATACCCTATACGCCTTTCCGCACTATCCTGACCCCCGCTGCATATGTTCTGCGTTATTCTCCCACCAACCACAACCGCCCTCCACCCACCCTTCTCCCAATGGGCTGACCTGTTCCAAGAACAACTTCAACCGATAGCCATCATCAATTGTCTTCACAAACATAAGCACCTGATAAAAATCACAGACCAAGACAAAACAGTCATTAGAATATCGTCATCATAGTTCACAAACAACATACAAAATAAAATACGATGTCGAGGGTCCAGGATCTTCCTGGGACAAGTGAAAAACAGTCTAAAAACAGACAAATACATCATTTTTTGAAAAAGTGCTTAAACCACCAGTACCTCCGGGCCTGTTTTTGCCGACCCTGAATTTCACTGCGCTCCGAGTTTGCCGAGCCTGGGTCCCACTCCATTTCTTTATGGCACTCTCACGGGAAGAGAAAAAAAAGGAAAAAAAAAAAGAAAAGTTGCGGCCATGAAACTCACAAAAAAACAAAAGGAAACAATGCTCTGGCCGCGATTGCAGTTGCATACATTCTTGGAAGTGGTAGTGTGAGTGTGCTCTCAGTGAGAGCATTTCAGCCCCGTGGCCAGGTTGTCAGATTCCAAAAACACACACACACACAAAAAAAAAAAAACAGAAACACATATTCGGCCGTGAAAATGGCTGGATACGTTCCTCTAAGTGCCAGTGTGACGAGGGTTACAATCCTCTGAGGGAACACAGCCCGAGCAGATCACGGATTCAGATTGTCAGATTCCAGAAACAGAAAACAAAACAAAAAAAAAAGAAACGGAAACACGCATTCGGCCGTGAAAATTGCTGGATACATCAGGGTCACAATCCTCTGAGGAAACACGGCCAGCGCAGATCACGGATTCCGCCTTGCCTCGTTGGCAGGGGACTCGTAATAAACAAACGAGAAATAAAAAAAGAAAACAACAAGTTTCAGAATGTGATCGTCTTTGCTGTAGGATGCATTCTGTAGAGGAAGACTGTGAGCACGGCCTCCTAGACTACCCTGCCCGACATCATTGCAGTGCATAAGCTTTTTTTTTTCCTTCTTCTTTCACGCGCAGGCAAAAGAAAACTAAGATTTATGGGATTCGCCGACCCTGGGCCCCACCACCGATTTCTTCGGGGACAGACCAGTACATTGTAATTTCCCAACACTGGCAGAGGTAGTGGTGGTTTAAATTTTAAAACAGCCATTTTGTTAAAATGGACGTCATAGTAGGTCATACATTTTTTGAACGAAATAGAAACAGCCTTATTTGGCCCGAAAACTTCAAACTTTTAGCTCCTTAGGTGCGGCGTTTCAAGGACTTGTTTGGACCCTCGGGAGCTAAAACAAATCGACGTTTCGGGCCAAATAAGTCAGTTTCAATTCCTTTCAAAAAATATAAAATGCCACTTTTAACGAAATAGCTGTTTTAAAAGTTAAAACAGACTCAGTACAAGAATATGTAGTCCATAAAGTCAATACGTCTCAAAAGGATGTGCATTGAGTTTTTTTTTTCAACCATTTACTTGTTCACTACGAGGGCATACCTCATGTGTTCATCCATTTACAACTCGCTTTAAGGTTTTTTAATAAGTTTGTGCTCTTGGTCGCTGGTTAAAAAGAGGACAACTTTGAATCATCCAGAGACCAACAGCCGCAACATGTGCTGGTCAAGGAAAAAAAAAAGAAGACCGACGGCATACGACCACTGAGTACAGGAACTTGGTGGCAACCTGTGCTGCCAGCCAGGCGGCCCGGCTTGGGGAACGGGGTGGCCCAGGTGGACCCGGCTGCATGGAGTACGGGCAGTCCCAGTACATCATCTTAGAAGAAAAAAGAAAAAAAAAAGAAAAAAAAAACATATACATTGGGTAAAATTGTAAATTGCATTGCAAAAACTTTTTTTTTGGCTGAGGTTCACCTCGAAATTTTTCTCTCCTCCCCCCCCCCCCTTTAAAGCCTGCTTATAGCAACTTTATACTAGCTTGACACCCCCCCTGAACCCCTTCAATTAATGTCAAAAACTCAGAACTTGCCAGCAAGATTAGTAGGTTACCACCACCTCACAAACAGCAAGCCGACGGACACAAGTGGTGTTTTTCGCCTTTTTGCAGATGTTTCACCTTTTCGCAGAAGTTCTCAGACCCTTTCCTGACTTATCAAGTCTCATTTAAACAAACACAGTGCCGCCGACACTGAAGTGGGAAATGAAATCGAACCAGAAGAAAAAGCGATCAACTCCTTCAAATCACTGACTGTCGCCAAATACACATGCTCCACTTGAATACATTTAATCACAAGTTCACAACTAACAATTTTAGATTCATCGCAGAGTGCTGTGACATCCGTTTAACTAGACAGATGTAAGGCGATACGCACCACACAGAGAGAAAGGGGAGGAGAAGGGGGGGAACGAATATGGAGGGGGGTGGTGAGAAAGAGAGAGAGAGAACAGTGAATGCACACTTCAAAAAGCTACCTTTCCATCTCACTAATGACAGAAATGACAAGAGTGGCGAGGGGAAGAAAGCTAGCACCATGCAACAACGACGAAGTTTGGTGGCTCCTGTGTTTAGGCCATTCATACGCGCATGCTTCCCCTCTATCACTACTCGTACCGTCATGGATTTGTGCACGAACGATGTGGGCATACTAATGCGAATCCTGCAATGCACACAACCAGCAACCTGCACAACATGCATTCCATTTCTCGACACTATCACAGTGAGCCAACCACTTTGCACTGCATCATAGGACTCCCATTTACGCTCTACGCGCCACCTGCTGTGTCAAAGAGTCATTTTTTCCAGACATGGTGCTGGTGTCTCATAACATTTCCGCATTTTCACACCAGAGAAAAGTCCGCAAAAAAAGTGTTTCCTTCCCCTCACCAAATCCATTCCTACTGCCTCAAAAATTTTAAAGGGGGGCTACAAACCCTTAAAACCACCAGTACGTCTGAGCCTCTTTTTTCCAATGCCGACTTCTGCCGAGCACCAAGTTTTGCCCAGTCGCCACAGGCATGAAATCACATCTTTTTGCCTGGCGCCACCGCCCTTTTCAGGTTGATATACCAAGCCCCAAAGACCACGGTGCGTTAACCGCCACATTGGAACAAAATAGCTGGGGAACGTACTGGTGGTTTAGCAATCCCCTCAGCATTAGAGCAGATTTCACTCAGGGCAAAATCACACTCCAACTTTTCTGGATGTACTTCCACTGGGATCATGAACATACGATTCAGTGTTGAAGACTCGAAAAGGTCCTGTGCACTTGGACGCAATCCTTAAAGGAATCCATCCAACCAACAATCTATACTAAAGGCACACAAATATGCAGGCGGCACATCACACACACCATAGTAATGCACCACGCATGGTGCAGTCTGTGGCTGGACAAAATCCTAGGGGTCGTAGGGCTCACCTTTTTCTGCACAACACGCAACTTCAGAAGTGCCAGCGTATAAAGCAGCTTATCCTCTTTCCTGCAGTTCAGCTGCAGAACCCAACAGAAGGGAGATAGTCAAGATCAGAGAGCAGCAAGATAATCTCATGGGATGCCAGTCAGTCACATAATACACAGAAACGAACGAATCAATGGGGAGCAAAGCAGTGTTGGGCCGGCAACCGGCCGGTTGGACCGGTACGGATGCAACCGGACCGGTTCGACCCAAGGCCTGTCTCTTATACACATCTAGATGTGTATAAGAGACAGGAAGAAGGACGGGGAGGGGGGAGGGGAAGAAGGGAACTTCTTCATCTCGGATTGTCCGTGGGGTCATGGAGTGATGATCCTTGCGATAAGGGGGGAAGAGGGAAGGGATGGGGATCAACAACATTGCACTGCACGACGACTGTCTCTTATACACATCTAGATGTGTATAAGAGACAGTTCCAAATGTGAAGGACGATGGCTACGTCGGGAATAAGGGGGAAAGAAGAAGGACGGGGAGGGGGGAGGGGAAGAAGGGGCAGTGGCGATTCGAAAACGGGGAAAGGGGGGAGGGGGAAAGTAGAAGAAGAAGAAGAAGAAGAAGAACTAAAGAAGAAGAAATAAAGGAGTCTTTGGACTTTCACCGACGTCGCTCAGAGATGGCCGTAGTAGCTGCCATAACCCTAAAAAAAGTGGTCCTCACACCAAGAGGGGCGGACACGCAGACAGAGACAAAAAAAAAAAAAGAGAGAGAAAGTTGCGAATGTATCTGGTGCAGACAATGGAACAGATACATTCGCACTTTCGTGTGGCCCACTAACACACACACGCAGAGAGAGAGAGAGAGAGAGAGAGAGAGGAAGAAGGAGAATAACTAAAGAAGAAGAAGAAGAGGACGGGTCGCCTGCCTCTCCATGCCGTGGACGCGATGCCGAACCTGTGACGACGCGATGTCGTGGCCGCGATGTCGTCGACGCGATGTCGTGGACGCGTTCGGAGTGATGCCGATGTCATCCGCGGGAACGCGGTGCCAAAACGCGTTCGGGGCAGCGGGAGGCAAAAGGCAACCTCCGAAAGTCGGCCGCCAGATCCCGCCCGATTGGTTTGAAAAGGGCGGCCGATCTGGGCCGCCGATCTCTCGAGATCGGCGGCCCAGATCGGCCGCCCTTTTCAAACGAATCGGGCAGGCCTTCCGGACCGATTCGATTTTTTTTTTGGCGCGGACGATGTTTCTAGACCCCAATGTGCCCACCATACCGATTGGACCCTGGTACCCTCCCCCAGCTGTAATGCGCTGGGGCCGACCGGGGGGAAGCCGGGCTGGTGGACCGGCCGGTCCGACCGGAACGGTTCCGGCTCGAGGAGGGCCCCCCGGTTGGACCGGGGACCAACACTGGAGCAAAGTGGTGAGCCCAAGAGAAGCCAGCCGACTCCCAGCTGACTCGCTATTTCTACATCCTTAACGGAAGGAGAGGGTCTCGCAATACCAACCAAGCAGGGAAACACTTCCCACTTGGGCCTGGGTTCGCTATCATGACACCCCGTACCCAGTCTGACCAGGCAAATCCTACTAACTATGGACTACCTTCTTCCCCCGAATACAACGTACGGTCATTATAGCTGTATTTAGACTGAAAGATACCCCAAATACAGCAATAATGACCGTACCTTGTATTCGGGGGAAGAAGGTAGTATAAAGTTAAAAATTCAACCGTGTTCCACGTAAAAAATTGGAGCCCATGAATTTAGAAATGCAAACTCATGGGCTTGGGTTTTGTTATAAATGGCGTGATAAACTGTCTGAAATTTTTGGCCTCCGTTGACCATCTCCCCACACAAATGTGGGTCCTGCAATTCTTCATCATATTGCTAATTATTGCAAGCAAGGTGACCCATAAGTTGATAATAATTTTCACATTTGTTTTTGTTAGTAAATTTGTACCCAGAAAAGAGAGCCACTTCTTGATCACCTTTCTAATGTGAGCATTTGATTGCTTACTTGTCGGTTCCAATGCGACGATAAAGCGAGCAGACTGACGGGCGGCAGGCAGACAAGCCGGTATACGAGCAGATCAGCAGGCAGGCAGGCACGTAGGAATGCTTCTCCTCATACTGAGCTTCTGATCTCACTACACACACAGACCAGCAGACTGACAGACAGACAGGGATGTGGTGCGACAGGCAGCCGGCCATGCAAAGCAAACCTGCTACTGGGGCTCAGAGATAGACAAGAGAAGATACGAAGATCACACCAGACAGACAGGCAGACAGACAGACAACTGGGCTTACAGGCAGACAGGCAGCTGGGGCACTCCATGGCTGCAACATTCAACAAGTCATGATCACAACTGGACTTAGATAGGGGGCTAGGTAGTGTGAGGCATATGAGAGAAGAATTTAACTTAGTTTTTTAAAAGAAACGGGAAACAGGCCCATGTCAGCTCTTAGTTTTTTAAAAGAAAGGGGAAACAGGCCCATGTCAGCTCTCGATTGCACACGACGACGGACAGTCGTACAGACTGACCGAAAGATGGGCAGAGACTAGCATACGGAAGAGCAGGTGGGCTAACATGCAGGCAGGCAAGCATTCGGGCAGGCACAGCAGCGCATGGAGTCGGCCGACAGACAGGCAGGCAGGTCGATGCAGACAGGTAGACGTGCAGGCGAGACAAGCAGGCGTGGAAGAAAAAAAAACATGCAGCGCCTTGCATGCTCAGCTTTTCCTCGTTTGCCCTCGCGTAAGCAGGTCATCGTTCCAGAGACAGGCAGGGGGCAGGCTCGCAGATGAATGGAATACAGACAAGCAGATAGACAGGCAGAAGAACCGGCAGCATCTGGGTGTTTTGGTGCTAATCCACCGATGACGTGTCTACATGCTTTTGTCGATTTCCAGGCTCAAATTGCCTTATCATGCAGAGCATCCACATGCATCTGTCCATTCAACCCGGTTTTTTTATTCAAGCGAGTAACGTAACCATCTCATGATGTGTCGTAGAAAATGAAGATCATTGAAAGCGAGAGAGCATTATTAAAGAAGGGCAAAACGAAAAAGAAAGGATGAGAGCATTACGCCAATGGTACATACTCGCACTTGCATCCAAGAAGGGGTCATGCAGCAAAATCGGCTTGCAATACGATCAGACAGGCGTACAGGGTTGATGGCTGAGGGGTGGTTGAGCTTACCACAAACTGTTGAACAGTGTCCGGCACACCGGCTCCTCCCTCTGTCCCATCAACCTCCGTCAGTGTCAGAATGGCTGGATTATGAAGGACGAGCTTCTTCAGCCGGTCCACCTCTGTGCTGTTTTGGGAACCGAGAATAGCACGTAACAGCAACAAGGCGATACCACCATGTGAGCGACGAACTCTGAACAGTGTGAAAAAAACTTACATAAATGTTTCCGCTGCCTTTGATCCCCTTTCATCCGTGTCCAATTTTCTCACACTCCCCGACAAGCACCATTTCAGACTCGACTCACCGCTAATCGAGAACACAACTCGACAGACATTTTTGCTCGAGTGCATCAGTGTGTACACAGAGTGGCAGGGGACTCTACCAACTCCCTACGCTTGACAATCAAGTTGCTCAGACAATATTACGCAGTGGCCGGCGCTGACCAACTTGAGTACCTGGATTGATAAACTTGCAGGCAGGATCGGTCAAACTTGGAAGACAAGATTGGTGGTCCCATTTGCTTCTCAGACAATATTACGCCGTGAAGGCGCTGACCAACTCGAGTACAGGATTGATAAACTTGCAGGCAGGATCGGTCAAACTTGGAAGACAAGATTGGTGGTCCCCATTTGCTTATTTCAAGTTAGCAAACTTGAGGAGCGGATCGATCGGCACAGCTTCCAGACGGGATTGGTCAACTTTCTTATTGGTCAACTTGAAGAAGAGAACCGTCGGATACGGTCGGATTGAAGAGACCCAAATGGTCAACTTGCAGACCAGATTGGTCAACCAGAAGACCAGTCTGGTCAACTAGAAGACCAGCTTGGTGAACTTGAAGAGCAGATAATTAACTTGCTTACTGCCAACTTCAACACCAGATCGGTGAACTTGAGGCTCAGATTGGTCAACTCTTGTTTGTCAGCTAGAACTGAAGAGACCGGATTAGTCAACTTGAGGATCAGATTGGTCAACTCTCTTATTCGTCAGCTTTAACTCAAGAGACCGGATTGGTCAGCTTTAAGACCAAGTTGGTCACCTTGAAGACCAGATAAGCCAAGTTGAAGACCAGGTTGGTCAACTCAACGACCAGATTGGTTACTTCCCTATTGACCAACTTGAAGACGAGATTGGTCAACTTTCTTATGGTCAACTTAAAGACGGGATAGGTCGACTTGCAGACCAGATTGTTGGCCAACTTAAACCTCATCCAAACTGATGTCTCCTCGCAAGAAACAGTTACCACCTGAAGGATGTGCTCAAATGTGAGCCTCAGAGCTCACCATCGCCATGGAGGAAAACATATATAATGCAAATGCACATCTTGATCACTCGTTCATTCATTCGTTTGTTCGTTCGTTCGTTCGTTCGTTCAGTCAGTCAGTCATGCATTCGTTCAGTTCAATCATTCATTTGTTCGTTCATCGGTTCGTTCATTCATGTGGCATAGTGCATATGGTAGCAAAGTACATGGGATGTTCCCATTTTTTACAGAGACTGCAATCAAACCTTGCGATCCCACTGGGTGTGGAATTGGGGTTCCACAACCAGCTCAGCAAAGGAGAAACTACCACTCATTCTGCATTGAATGAACCCTCTGATGCCTGTAATAAAGCGAAGCCCTTTCCTCGGCTCGGGTAGAAAGTGGACTCACAGAAGACCTCCCATTAGGGAAAACGAGCATACCTATCACACCAGCATTCTGCTCATGAACAGACATACAGCTCCTTGAACATGCCAGGGGCAACATAACAGGTGAGGAACCGGACATGGACCTGGCCACTTGAACCACCAGCCTGTCGACAAGATATGCCAGTTACCTCGCCGACCATTTTCTGGATGTATGGGCGCGATTGAGCCTGCGTGCCCAGTTAAATACATTCACAACGGAAAAAAAAAACCCTGTTGTAGGTCCGCAGAAGGGTCTCGTAGGCTGGCAGTTTAAAACTGCTGGTTCCAAACAGCTGGCCTTCCAGTGGCAGCTTAGACCCTTTCCGGAAGGTTGCAGTAAGCATGACTGCTACATCTAATAAGAATAACAGACGGTCAAAAGCCAGTTGAGTCAAGGACAGCTCACGCCTAACAACAACGAAGAGAACAACAGCAAAGATAGCAAAAGACAACAGCAAAAAAAATCGACATCGGGGCCACGGTGGGGGAGGTGAGGGGAGTGAGGGGAGGAGGGAACAAAGGATGGGTGAAGGATAGAGAGCTGACCTGGTTGTTGCCGACATCAGCAAACATTGACAGTGCCTTGGCACAAGAGCAGCAATCTGGCGCAGGTCCTCCTCATACCCATACGATAACAACAGGTCCGCCTGCATGAGAGAACCGGCCGCAAAGAAAAGGAAAAAAACATCATTTTACTACGATTTTAGCCTTTTCAGATTACTTCGGTAGAATTTTATGGAAAATGCAGCAGCTTCCCCAGCCCATGTGCCTGAATGCTACCCACATGCAACTGTAGGCGAACACAGCATGACTGTGTATCTGCATTGGCTGTTTTTTTCCTAGGAGTTATGTGATCTTTGGCAGAGACTTTCGGCCATGCCGCACCACTAACTAAACGCAGAAGAGACAAAAATTAGCGTGGTGTTTGCCGAAGAATATCATTCTCGTTTTGCACATTTGGTAAGTGGTGCAGCGAGGCCCTTTGTCTGTCCTGATTTTGTCCGTATTCAGCCAGGCATGTGTCCGGTTGTGGCTGTTCAGAGAGCTGTAACTGTTCGGAGTGTCTTTCCCGTCGGGGGCGGTTTTCGCAGGCCTGGACGATTTTTGCCCGCGTTACGACTGGAGATGCATTTGTCCTGTGTGCACATTCACGGTGGTACTTGTGAAAAAACAGGAGACTTTGTCCGCAAATGGATGCTCGTAGGTGCAAATGCAACAAGGAGCCTGGATCCAGGACCCCGGGCCCAGACTGAGTATACGACTGATCCTGGGCTCAGATCTGATTTCCAGCCCGCTTCCCTTGACAGTGAATATATCAAGAGGCCGAGCAGACGGTCCAGGACAGCTGGAGAACTGGAGCAGACTGGGCGAAGCCTCAGTATATATGTTCGAAGTCGGCACGAATGGGCATTCATACATTCATTCAGCAGTTCACTTCTGGACCTGGAGGTCACCAGGCTGCTCGAGCACAGCGGTCGCCCAGATAGGCAGTAGACAACAGGGCAAATGCTAGATTGTATGGCAATTGATTGGAGGTACGCAAAGGAGAAGGTGGCACTCACCTGCTGGTGCCACAGTTGGAGCTCGACTGCAACAAGTTACCTGCATGACATAGCGACTCCACACAGCGAGAGAGAGAGAGAGAGAGAGAGAGAGCACTGAGTCCTTCGTCTGCTGCTTCTCCTCCTCCTCCTCCTCCTCCTCCTCCTCTCTTTGTTTTTCTGAGATCGAGGCAGAGAGATGTGGGGAGGCGATTCAGGGGGGGAGGCAATTTTATAGTGTGCTATTTCTGGGGAGCGTTGCTCTCCCAAGAAGAGATCTGAGGCATTTTATCGTTGGAGGCAATTTGCAGCAGGAGGAGGAGGAGGTTGCTCAAGGGGAGAGGGAGATTATCTTTTATCAGAATTGCCATGTCTTCAGTTCTTATGTCTCTTCCTCACCTCCTTTCGTCTGTGCATAATGGAGTGTGGGAAGGAGTTCTTCCATGCGTGTCTCCTCCCTGCTGCCATGCAAGTCGATTCTCTGCCGACTTTGTCTTCTGTGTGTGCGATCCATGTACACATTCTCACTAGGATCTGTGCATTTGACTGAGTATTCCACGGTGCCGTTCTTCGCATCCTTCCCCATAGCATGGCCCTTGGCTAAGTTGGCTTTCCCCCCACCATGTCCGACCCCTCCGATGCAGACAGGCGACAGCGAAGCGTCATTGTTTTGCAGCTTCGCTGAAACACACAAGAAGACTTAAGTTTTAACAATCCACCCCTGCAGTTGTCCCGTCATTGGGCCTCGCTCCACCACAAGCGCAATTTGCGAGTCAGCCTTGTTATGGCCTCCAAACGTTCGATTCCTTTCAAGGTCGCAACTGCAACCGAGAATGTGATTACGGGACATTCAATATATGTGTCTGGAACTGGTAATGGTTCCAATACATACAAAATGTCGTCCGTCGCAATGTATCTGGTCCTTGCAACAATCCAGATTCATGTCGCACATTGAGTAGTATCGGAACCATTACCAGATCCAAATGTACAGTCTTCATTAACTTCCACTATGCCACAAGTCTCCACACCCCCCCCCACCCAAAGTTATGTGTGTCGTCCTAACACGGAGGCCACGATAATCTTCTCTGTATCGTTCCAATTTCACCGGATGTCCCGAAGGATACTGTGCCATATGTCCAATACCAGACAACAGACAAGCTACCATGCCCCACCCGCTTCTCCCCCCCTAGAATATCTATCGAGTACCCACATTGCAGACCCACTCCATAAGGTGATTCAAAAAAAGGGGGGAAGAGGAGGAGGCGGGGGGAGAGGGGGGGGGTGTTGCAAATAATAATATTAAGAAAAGACAGGATGCAAAGAGGATTGATGACCAACTCGATAAAGCAATGGAACCTTTCAGAAAGATGTCAAAGGAAAAACAAAAAGCGAGCAAGCCAGTACTGAAACAACCGTGACAATTCTCTCTCATACTTGCCTCATCAAGAACCAGGGTCTGTAAATTCCCCCCCTGCAATGCTGCTTCCGATATCACTCCCTCTTTCAAGCACTGTGCGAACCGCGCAGGTGTCGTGACAACTATATCAGGCGATGCTGCCAATGCTGCCCTCTGATTTGCATGCACCCAAGCCACCACCAAGCATKCACAGRTSCGGAGTGRGSCA